CTTTCTGTACATGTGATACTCACTGTTTTCTGTACATGTGTTACTCTCTGTTTTCTGTACATGTGTTACTCACTATTTCCTCTACATGTGTTACTCACTATTTTCTGTATATGTGTTACTCACTGTTTCCTCTACATGTGTTACTCTCTGTTTTCTGTACATGTGTTACTCTCTATTTTCTGTACATGTGTTACTCTCTGTTTTCTGTACATGTGATACTCACTATTTTCTGTTCATGTGTTACTCACTGTTTTCTGTACATGCGTTACTCAATGTTTTCTGTACAAGGGTTACTCACTGTTTTCTGTACATGTGTTACTCACTATTTCCTCTACATGTGTTACTCACTGTTTTCTGTACATTTGTTACTCACTGTTTCCTCTACATGTGTGACTCACTGTTTTCTGTACATGTGTTACTCATTGTTTTCTGTACATGTGTTATAATCTATTATTATGATTTAGTTAATACATGCACAATTATGCTCAGAAGGGAAAGGATATTTTGCACCAGGTTACCTCTCTCGATCAAATAAGAAAGACAACAATACTTCTATTTAATCAAAATTGTATACGACAATCGGGCCAGATTTTGAAATATATCCAATGAATCTAACGTGTTATTACAGTCGGGATGTAATGGATGTGATTATACTGATTTTTGCCGTTATACTTACGTTGATATGGTTGTTCCATTTATCAATTCAATTGTAGAATTTTTGATTAATTTATGCATACTCCATTTTAGTGGTTCAAATGTGTAGAACGATGAGGGATAACTCGCTATGACGTCACCCGTGAAGGATGATCCGCTCCTCATGTAGCTTACTATGAGGACGGGAACAGGACCTGCATTGTCTGAAGTCATAAAATAATGTACATTTAAAATGAAAGAACTTACTGTAAACGTACTCATTTTAGCGGACTCAAGTCTTAGCGTTCTAATTACAAAAATTAGCGCATGGGTGAATTGACATGCTTACAATGTATGCGATAAATAACTATATATACATAAACATGATAAGCGCCATTACAATTTAGCGCAATATGAAAAGGGCTGAAATAAGGATAACGCTAAAATCTTAGTTTACAGTAATTGACAAGGACCCGTTACTGTGCATGTTACTCCATTTTATCAATCTTATCACAGACATGTTTGTTCTCTTTCTTAGTTTGGATACTAGAACTTCAGCTTGTAAAAGTAATTACTGGAAATACGAAGGAAGAACCTAATTGAACATTTTGTGTGCAGAAAACCAAACAGTGATCTTTTACTGATGATATGATAATTTCGTCAATTTGGTACTCAGCAGTGGTACTTAGGGTTAAATGAATGACAAATCCACGTTTAAAGTGATCCGAAATATAATTGTAGACTACAGCGAAAAGAGGAAGATGGAACACTTCATGACATTACAACAAATAGGTTACAGCAGCCATAGCGACATATTTCATGTAAACCGTACGAGAAAAAGGAAAAACATATGAATACTTATTGACGCAATATCATTGTTTGCCATACGACAGATGAAAACACTGTTAGTGATGAACAAATCTGTATAAATCTGGTTATATCCTGTTATTGTTTTGATAATGCTGAATATAAACTCGTGTACCGGCTCCTATGAAAACTGATTTGGACTTTGCTCCACTTTGAGTAGAGGTTTGGGATGTAGTTGAATCCTCCTGTCCGGACACAATACACTTAACAGCGAAAATAACCAGGAATAATAAACTTTTCTATGCAAGAAAGTTAAGATTAAGATTAAGGTTACATTGCTTACATTGGTCTATATTCTACTTGTATTTATATGATAGAAACCCTACATACAGTACGTACTCGAATGATTAGTTCATCACGCGGGGATATTTAATATATTTTCAAATCTAGAAAACACAAAGAAAATTCCGAAGTGTGAAAAAACTAGATATCAAACCGAAATCTAAAGATAGCACTAGAGCAAAACATTAAGAAGGTATTCCGGAAAGGTATATGTCTCCTGTTTCACCGCCGACACCCGCCATGTTAATCTTGGTCAAATTTAAATACAGCTACGCCCTCAAATTAAGGATCAGGTAGTGACTACGAAACCAAAAGACATATTTATGAGCATAAAAGACCCGACGACATTCATATCGAACAAGGAAATGATAAATTTTACAATATGATATTAAGAGTCCTACTCAACCAGTAGAGTCTCGAAACTACCATTCGACATGTGTCATGGGTAAAGCCAGTGCATATCAAATGCATTCGACTTTTGTTTACAAGTTGGGGTTGCGGGGATGTTACTATAAAGAAAAGGAAAATTTAAAATCACGTTTGTCACACAACTAAATTATACACCGTCACTTTTGGTCGTGTTGTATTGTAATATCGAGTTGGTGGGGGCTGTAGACAAGTATGCATGTCCTTAATTGACGTGGTCAACACATTTCTTATTGTCTAAAGATGTACATGAAAAATACAATCAAAGTTCAGAGCAAAGGAAATCATAATTTATGAATTAATGGTTAAAGTTTAATATCTGGAATAGCACTTATTTACAGAAAAACAACCTGATCTGAAAAAATGCTATTTTCGGCGATAATTGTACATGTACATAATAGACTTCAATACCATACAATACGACCGAAAGGGACGGCGTATACACTTAGTTATGTGTCAAACGTGACGATTTCGACTGATTGTGAATTTTCCTTTCATTGGTAGTAACATCCCGCAGAGGGTTTGGGCCCTACAGAGGGCATTCATCTTTAAAAAAACCTTCTCCTCTCAGTATGACAAGACTTTTATATCAGAAAATATATTATCATTATTTTAAATAAGGAATCACGATATAGATGCATTCAATGTAAATACATGTTAAAATGGATGAATAAGATACAGTCTATATTGCATGTAACAACTTTCTGTTGCATGCTTAAGATTGTCTTTGATATGTACATGTAAGCACATTTATCATAGACAGTAAGAAAAAACATGCACTACGAACTTATCATCCAAGCAATATTCAAAATATATTAGAGATTAAGAAAAATTGAAACAAATTGATGACAACATTTTCTCTTTAATAGGCGGGTAATGGAAATTAGATTAAAAATAATTCACTTCTCCTCATCCATTCCCTCTTAGATACACAATTCAAATGTATAATTCTAGTTAAGATATTATTGATGTAATGAAATTAAAACAGAATTTTTTTTTACAAAAAATGGGTGAAAGAATGGACTGAAGTCTACTAATTATGTGTCTCATATTCAATATGTGTAAATTTCACCTAAGATAACCTCACAGATGATAAAAGACAACGGGGTTATACCATAAACAGGACAGTGTTGGTAGAATAGTATAGAACACAAATGTTTTATAATGAAATATCATCAAAGTCAAAAGTTTTATTTTTAAAGACAACTGTATTACAATATTTGTATAACGAAAGTTATTGTAGTAAAAGCCAATTGGACATGATAACGATGTAACATAAGGGTCGGCAGACATTTTAGATAAACAGTGTATAGTAAAACATTCCATTGAAAATATTAGATTATAAAAAGTTGAAAATTAAAAGATTTGGTTCAATGAATATTTATTAGTATCTGTAGTAAATTATATATATATAATGTGTCATCTTCATTTTTCCTCCCTCCCCCCACCCCCACCCACACACCCTATGTTTCTCTCTCCTTATACATATCAGTAAACAAACAGTATAAACGAAAGACCCAATGAAAAAAAAACATAGGCTATTTTATATAATTACCGGAATCGGCTGCACGTATATTAAGTGAACCAGGTCTGGTTATACTACGAAAACTGGTTTCCACTCCTGATTGAAAGATTTCTGAAACAAACAACATACAAAATGATGTAAATGTTCCATTTACCATAAGTGATTGTAATTTTTCTAATATTTAATATCTTGACTTCCATTACGTTCCATCTATGTCGATGTCTTTGAACAAGCAACACCACGAAATCCTTAAAACAGTATAACCATTACGTTTTATTGTAGGGTTGTATAATACTACTGACATACCTTTTACTAAGTGATATACGCTTCAGCATATCGCAGGTGTCAATATAACTGAATGATATCGCGGGTGTCGATATCACATAATAGTATCGCGAATGTCAATATATCTGAAAAAATATTGCGGGTGTTAATATGACTGAATGATATCGCGGATGTCAATATCACTGAATAATATCGCGGGTGTCAATATAACTCTATGATATCGCGGATGTCAATATCACATACAAATATCGAGGGTGTCAATATAACTGAATAATATCGCGGGTGTTAATATGACTGAATGATATCGCGGATGTCAATATCACATACAAATATCGAGGGTGTCAATATAACTGAATAATATCGCGGGTGTCAATATCACTGAATTGTGTTGTTTCCACCATACTTACCACAATACAAAATAAACAGTAGAAGAACAGCTGTTGTAAGAAGGATTATGAACCGACTTCGTGTTCGCATGTTTATCGTTGCACTTCAGCAGCAGCAGCAGAGATCTGTAATAAACGACAGAGCCTAGTCCCTTATTATTGCTTTCTATTGCAGTACATGTATAATCAAAATTGTAGTATTTCTGCCAGTGTCGCTTGCTGTTTGTACAAGTCACCAACACAATGTCGAAGTTCTTGACAACACCCCTAACTAAAGTGTTAAATAGCACACACACACACACATATCTATTATAACTTACCAAGGTGGCGTGAACCATTTATTCAATTACTTTACAAATTGAGATATGTATGTCGCAGCATTAACAATGACAAAAAGTGTAGTTCAGAGCTCCTTTTCACAAAATAGAGTCAATAAACAAGGCCACGTCACTCTAATCGATCGTGCGACTATTGCAATCTGTAAAAAGGTAGCAACATGGTTTTTGATTATCGGTTGATTTAAACCATGAATACAGTGTCAAGTATATACCAAAACGCCCCGTTTACACACATTCCTTTCAAATTACACAAAGAGGCGAGTCCGAGGAGTGGCCGAGGAGTGTTTGTACAATTCAAGGCCTAATAACAATAATACACATCAATGTGGTACTCAATTATCAATCCAATACCTGAAACCTAATTCATGAAAATAAAAAATTAAAACGTCATCTCTTTTATTCAAACATTTACCGGTTGATATTCACATAACTATATGAAAGGGGCTCGTCGGGGAAAAAATGTCATATTTGCTAAAATGGCATACACATGTTTAAAATACCTTCTTATGAAATATACCGATACAAATTTTGCTGAAATTCACTCCCTAAGAGTAAAAATTATAATGATATTAAAGAAATCCTAAATCGTCACCTGACAGTCTAAAACTCTCAATTGACCCAGATCAGTGATGTAATTTTACCGCACGTGCCTCACCAACAAGGCCAAATGTAAACATCGCGACGAAAGAAAAAGATGCATGCAAAAGTCATGACAGGCACGAGGTATCAATACCGTTATATATAACAACAACATATAGATAGGAATATTACACTTGCATCATACATGACCTTTGAAAACAATTATTTACGTATGGTAGTATTGCTGTCTTGTCCGCCAGTTGAGTCCGACATGGCACATGACGGTGTGCTATTGTTGTTATCTTCACTGCCTCACTTTCGAAGCAACCACGTGACATACAAGTGTATATAAATAGATCTGCGCCAAATTTACGCGGGGCTGTCCCGAGATTTCAGTGGTCAAAACTGGAGATTGCAAGCAGAACTCGACCATCATATTGCCGTGGTATAACTTTTGGAAGGCCAGAGAACGCATTTAGACCCATTTATTTTGTATTTTTTTCCCCGACCAGCTCCCTAAAGATGGGATCCGACAGATTTCGAGCAATATTTTGGCACTTGAAAATACATTTTTTTTGGTCTATTCTCAGGTACCAAATAGATTCTGAACATTCCAATTAAAGGAAATAGCACCTGAGAATGTTCAATGATAAGAGCAACCAAATTAAACCCATTTCACACTGATTACAAACTCTGGTATTAGAGTTGCGACTTTTCTTATCGTGGAGAAACTGGAAGTCGGTTTGGGGTCTGACTTGGCAAACACACTACAGACATGGAATTACAGAGGGAAGGAAATATACCCAAATTGAAAAGGAAAAGAAGCAGTCGGAGCCTTAGATAACACAATTAAGGCGCAAAATAAAGGAAGCTATCTGGATGGAGATGAGAGGCTAATAGGCTCTTAAACAATTATAATCAGGTACTATAAAAAGAGTAGCTAAATCAATTTGTCAAATTGATCGTTATTTCTTACATTGATAACGTTTAAGTGTAAATGCGCCAATAGCGTAACCGTGTAAGCAAGTAAATACATGTTATTCGAGACTATTTTGGTCATACATGCAAACTTATACAATTATATATCAGTGCGTACAATTAAAAACAGCCTGATTCCCTATATCTGTACATGTATAGCAATTCATTCATTTGGCGTAACGATCTAATTATTAATCCCTCATTAAGAAGCAAAGACTCGTGATTTAAAATTGGTTATAAATATTTACTTAGCGATACGAAGGGAATGCTTTGTCTGTGGAAAGATGACAAACATTCTTTTCTAAAATTCTTTTTAGGGAACAATGCCATTGTTTTATTGTCAGAATGTTTTACGTGGTATTGTTGACGATCTACTCAGGTCTTTTTATTTCCAAATTGGTCAATTATGCTACCCAAAAACAAAATTACATCGAAACTATACTCGTTGGAACAAAAACAGAACACTATTAGCTATACTGATATATTTTTTTTTTCCAGAAACGAAGATTTTCTGATCTCCAAAACAGATTGTCCAATCCTTAAAGAAACAGGAGGTGGACCTTTTTCCCCCAGAAATGGTTTGATATGTTTATCCTGATGATAAGGTTATACTGCAAGAACTTCAGGAGATAAAAGCAGATAATCAGACGCTCTGTCCCATATACTCTCATAGTAGTCGTATATTTATGGTTTACTTATAACATAGGGTTCTGTTCTGTGGACATTGGATGGTGTCCTGTTGATATTGGATGGTGTCCTGATGACATTGGATGGTGTCCTGTTGATATTAGACGGTTTCCTGATGACATTGGATGGTGTCCTGTTGATGATAGATGGTTTCCTGTTGACATTGGATGGTGTCTTGCTGATATTAAATGGTTTCCTGATGACATTGGATGGTGTCGTGTTGATGATAGATGGTTTCCTGTTGACATTGGCTGGTGTCCAGTTGACATTGGATGGGGTCCTGATGGCATTGGATGGTGTCCTGTTGATACTAGATTATCCTAATGACATTGGATGGTGTCCTGCTGACATTGGATGGTGTCCTGTTGGTATTAGATGGTGCCTTGTTGACATTGGTTGGTGTCTTGTTGACATTGGATGCAGTCCTGATGACATTGTATGGTGTCCTGTTGACATAAGATGTTGTCCTGTCTTGTTGATATTAGATGGTTTCCTGATGACATCGGATGGTGTCCTGTTGATATTGGATGGTGTCATGATGACATTGGATGGTGTACTGTTGAACTTAGACGGTTTCCTGATGACATTGGATGGTGACCTGTTGATACTAGATGATCCTCATGACATTGGATGGAGTCCTGTTGATATTAGATGGTGCCCTGTTGACATTGGATGGTGTCCTGATGATATTAAATGGTTTCCTGATGACATTGGATTGTGTCCTGTTGATATTAGATGGGTTTCTGTTGACATTGTTCTGTTCTGTGGACATTGGATGGGGTCCTGTTGACATTGGATGGTGTCCATGATACTAGATGATCCTAATGTTATTGGATGGTGTCCTGTTGACATTTGATGGTGTCCAGTTGACATTTGATGGTGTCCTGTTGATACTAGATGGTCCTAATGACATTGGATGGTGTCCTGGTGATATTGGATGGTGTCCTGAAGACATTGGATGGTGTCCTGTAGATGGTGCCTTGTTGACAATACACCATCCAATGTCAATAAGGCACCATCTAATATCAACAGGAAACCATCTAATGTCAACAGAACAACATTTGATTATGTCAACAGGACACCGTCCAATGTCATCAGGACAATCGTATATAAACAGGACAACATCTGATATCAACAGGACACCATCCAATATCAACAGGACCCCATCCAATGTCCACAGAACAGAACAATGTCAACAGAAACCCATCTAATATCAACAGGACACAATATTGTCAACAATACACCATCCAATGGCAATAAGACACCATCAAATGTCAACTGGACACCATCCAATGTCAACCGGAAGACATCTGATTATATCAACAGGACACCATCTGATGTCCTGTTGATATAATCAGACGTTTTCCTGTTGACATTAGAAGGTGTCCTGTTGATATTTGATGGTATTGATATTAGATGGTTTCCTGTTGACATTTGATGGTGTCCTGTTGATACTAGATTATCCTAATGACATTGGATGGTGTCCTGGTGATATTGGATGGTGTCCTGAAGACATTGGATGGTGTCCTGTAGATGGTGCCTTGTTGACAATACACCATCCAATGTCAATAAGGCACCATCTAATATCAACAGGAAACCATCTAATGTCAACAGAACAACATTTGATTATGTCAACAGGACACCGTCCAATGTCATCAGGACAATCGTATATAAACAGGACAACATCTGATATCAACAGGACACCATCCAATATCAACAATACACCATCCAATGTCAATAAGGCACCATCTAATATCAACAGGACACCATCAAATATCAACAGGACACCTTCTAATGTCAACAGGAAAACGTCTGATTATATCAACAGGACACCGTCAAATGTCATCAGGACAATCTTAAATCAACAGGACAAAATCTTTTATCAACAGGACACCATCCAATGACATCAGGAAACCGTCTAATATCAACAGCACACCATCCAATGTCATCAGGAGACCATTTAATATCAACAAGACCCCATCCAATGTCAACTGGACACTATCCAATGTCAACAAGACACCAACCAATGTCAACAAGGCACCATCCAATGTCAACTTGACACCATCTAATGTCAACAGGAAAACATCTGATTATATCAACAGGACACCATCTGATGTCCTGTTGATATAATCAGACGTTTTCCTGTTGACATTAGAAGGTGTCCTGTTGATATTTGATGGTGTCCTGTTGACATCGGATGGTGTCGTGTCCTGTTGACATTGGATGAAATCCTGTTGGAATGGATGGTGTATTGTTGACATTGGATGGGGTCTTGTTGACATTGGATGGTGGTCAGTTGACATTGGATGGTGTCCTGCTGACATTGGATGGTGTCCTGTTGGTATTAGATGGTGCCTTGTTGACATTGGTTGGTGTCTTGTTGACATTGGATAGTGTCCAGTTGACATTGGATGGTGTCCTGATGACATTGGATGGGGTCCAGTTGACATTGGATGGTGTCTAGTTGACATTGGGTGGGGTCCTGTTGATATTGGATGCTTTCCTGATGACATTGGATGGGGTCCTGTTGATACTAGATGATCCTAATGACATTGGATGGTGTCCTGTTGATACTAGATGATCCTAATGACATTGGATGGTGTCCTGTTGATATTAGATGGTTTCCTGTTGACATTGGATGGTGTCTTGTTGCTATTGGATGATGTCTTGTTGACATTGAATGGTGTCCATTTGACATTGGATGGTGTCTTGTTGACATGGTGTCCTGTTGATACTAGATGGTCCTAATGACATTGGATGGTGTCCTGTTGATACTAGATTATCCTAATGACATTGGATGGTGTCCTGTTGATATCAGATGTTGTCCTGTTGATATAAGATTGTCCTGATGACATTGGACGGTGTCCTGTTGATATAATCAAATGTTGTTCTGTTGACATTAGATGGTTTCCTGTTGATATTAGATGGTGTCTTGTTGACATTGGATGGTGTCCTGTTGACATTGGGTGGGGTCAAGTTGACATTGGATGGTGTCTTGTTGCTATTGGGTGGTGTCTTGTTGACATTGAATGGTGTCCGTTTGACATTGGATGGTGTCTTGTTGACATGGTGTCCTGTTGATACTAGATGGTCCTAATGACATTGGATGGTGTCCTGTTGATCTTAGATGGTTTCCTGTTGACATTGGATGGGGTCTTGTTGATATTAGATGGTTTCCTGATGACATGGGATGGTGTCCTGTTGATATTAGATGGTTTCCTGTTGACATTGGCTGGTGTCTTGTTGATATTAGATGGTTTCCTGATGACATGGGATGGTGTCCTGTTGATATTAGATGGTTTCCTGTTGACATTGGCTGGTGTCTTGTTGATATTAGATGGTTTCCTGATGACATGGGATGGTGTCCTGTTGATATTAGATGGTTTCCTGATGACATGGGATGGTGTCCTGTTGATATTAGATGGTTTCCTGATGACATGGGATGGTGTCCTGTTGATATTAGATGGTTTCCTGATGACATTGGATGGTGTCCTGTTGATTCTAGATGATCCTAATGACATTGGATGGTGTCCTGTTGATCTTAGATGGTTTCCTGTTGACATTGGATGGTGTCTTGTTGCTATTGGGTGGTGTCTTGTTGACATTGAATGGTGTCCTGATGACATTGGATGGTGTCCTGTTGACATTGGATGGTGTCAAGTTGACATTGGATGGTGTCTTGTTGCTATTGGATGGTGTCTTGTTGACATTGAATGGTGTCCATTTGACATTGGATGGTGTCTTGTTGACATTGGATGGGGTCCTGATGACATTGGATGGTGTCCTGTTGATATTGGATGGTGTCCTGATGACACCGGATGGTGTCCTGTTGACATTAGATGGTGTCAAGTTGACATTGGATGGTGTCTAGGTGACATTGGATGGTGTCTAGGTGACATCGGATGGTGTCCTGTTGACATTAGATGGTGTCTTGTTGACATTGGGTGGTGTCCTGTTGACATTATATGGTCTCCTGATGACATTGGATGGTGTCCTGTGATATTGGATAGTGTCCAGTTGACATTGGATGGTGTCTTGTTGACATTTGATGGTGTCCTGATGACATTGGATGGTGTTCAGTTGACATTGGATGGTGTCCTGTTGATATAATCAGATGTTTTCCTGTTGACATTAGATGGTGTCCTGTTGATATTTGATGGTATGCTGTTGACATTGGATGCAGTCCTGATGACATTGGATGGTGTCCTGTTGACATAAGATGTTGTCCTGTTGACATTAGATGGTGTCCTGTTGATATTTGATGGTGTCCTGTTGATATTTGATGGTGTCCTGTTGACATCGGATGGTGTCCTGTTGACATTAAATGTTGTCCTGTTGATATAAGATGGTGTCCTGTTGACATTACATGGTGTGCTGTTGACATTGGATGATGTCCTGTTTCTATTAAATAGTGCCTTATTGACATTAAATGGTGTGCTGTTGACATTGGATGATGTCCTGTTTCCATTAAATAGTGCCTTGTTGATATTAAATGGTGTCCTGTTGATATAAGATGGTGTTCTGTTGACATAAGATGGTATAATGTTGACATTAAATGGTGTGCTGTTGACATTGGATGATGTCCTGTTTCTATTAAATAGTGCCTTGTTGACATTAAATGGTGTCCTGTTGATATAAGATGGTGTCCTGTTGACATTAAATGGTGTCCTGTTGATATTGGATGATGTCCTGTTGACATTAGATGGTATTATGTTGACATTAAATGGTGCCCTGTTGACAAGGGATGATGTCCTTTTGACATGGGATGATGTCCAGTTGACTTTGGATGATGTCCTGTTTACATTGGATGGTGTCCTGTTGACATTGGGTATTGTCCTGTTTACATGGGATGATGTCCAGTTGATGTTATATGGTATTATGTTGACATTTAATGGTGCCCTGTTGACAAGGGATGATGTCCTTTTGACATTGGATGGTGTCCAGTTGACATTGGATGGTGTCTTGTTTACATTGGATGGTGTCCTGATGACATTGGATGGTGTCCTGATGACATTGGATGGTGTCCTGATGATATTTGATGTTGTCCTGATGACATTGGATGGTGTCGAGTTGACATTGGATGAAATCTTGATGACATTGGATGGTGTCCTGTTGATATAATCAGATGTCTTCCTGTTGACATTGGATGGTGTCCAGTTGACATTGGATGGTGTCTTGTTGACATTAGATGGTGTCCTGTTGATATTGGATGGTGTCCTGATAACATTGGATGGTGTCCTGGTGATATAATCAGATGTCTTCCTGTTGACATTGGATGGTGTCCTGTTGACATTGGATGGTGTCCTGTTGATATTGGATGCTGTCCTGATGACATTGGATGGTGTCCTGTTGATATTGGATGGTGTCCTGATAACATTGGATGGTGTCCTGTTGATATAATCAGATGCTGTCCTGTTGACTTTAGATGGTGTGCTGTTGACATTGGATGGTGTCTTGTTGACATTAGATGGTGTCCTGTTGATATTGGATGGGGTCCTGATAACATTGGATGGGGTCCTGTTGATATAATCAGATGCTGTCCTGTTGACTTTAGATGGTGTGCTGTTGACATTGGATGGTGTCTTGTTGACATTGGATGGTGTCCTGTTGATATTGGATGCTGTCCTGATGACATTGGATGGTGTCCTGTTGATATAATCAGATGTTGTGCTGTTGACATTGGATGGTGTGCTGTTGACATTGGATGGTGTCTTGTTGACATTGGATGGTGTCCTGATGACATTTGATGGTGTCCAATCGACATTGGATGGTGTCCTGTTGACATTGGATGAAATCCTGTTGACATCAGATGGTGTCCTGTTGATATAATCAGATGTTTTCCTGTTGACATTAGATGGTGTCCTGTTGATATTTGATGGTATCCTGTTGACATTGGATGCTGTTCTGATGACATTGGATGGTGTCCTGTTGATATAAGAAGTTGTCCTGTTGACATTAGATGGTGTCCTGTTGATATTTAATGGTGTCCTGTTGACATTGGATGAAATCCTGTTGGAATTAGATGGTGTCCTGTTGATATTTGATGGTGCCCTTTTGACATGGGATGATGTCCTTTTGACATTGGATGATGTCAAGTTGACATTGGATGATGTCCAGTTGACAGTGGGTGGTGTCCTGTTGACATTCGATGGTGTCCTGTTTACATTGGATGATGTCCTGTTGACATTAGATGGTCCTGTTGATATTGGATGGTGTCCTGTTGATATTCGATGGTGTCCTGTTTGTTTGACGTTTATTTTTAAAGATCATGTCAGATTTAATACTGACCCATACAGGTAGACTTCATGAACAGTTCATTTGTGCACAATAGTAAAACCAGATAATTTGTACTTTGAGATGCCATCTTGGTATTTCGTCATCTCGCAAAAGCAAAAGCAAAAAAAAAAAAAAAAAAAAATGCCGTTTCATTTTTCNCATGTTTCCTCCATTGATACATTAAGGAACCAGTAGCCATGCCCCTAAGATGTAATGCTGACCGCTTTCAATCGATACCCGTACAATGCCATGCAGTGGTAGCACGAAATGCCCACTATGGCGTACCTTGGCTTCATGTACCCTTGTACATTAGATGGAAACATGGTGATTCAGGTAACAGCTTACTACCACTAGAATTCCTTGGAGCCATTACCGCTTTGAACGTTAAACGAGCGAACCGTGTCTGACGCAATTTTGCTTCCTGACTATTAAAAAAAGGACAAACAGAACTAAAAATCAAACCTGGTGTATGTGGCTCGGAACGTCCCTCCTATGTCTCTGTCAATGTTCAAAAACAATGACGGTTTATAAACCTCACAGGTAACATAAACTTACCGACATCGTTCGGCTAAACTATTTGGTATAAACAGATAAAAGACCTTTGTTTGCGGGCAGAAATAAATACGAGCTTTCTTTTGAATGCGTGGAATGTATTGTTGCCAACTACAATGCCTGCTTTAAGATAACCAAGGCAAGGTGTTATATACAGCAAACGAAGATTTATGCAAAATGCAGCTCTAGTGTAGTGTTTAAAACACCTCTGTATATATGCATTTTTGTTAAAAACGATTTCAATGTTCAAGAATAAAAAGCCATCTAGAAATATGTTAAACCATAGAAGGATCTGTACGACGCAGCGTAAAACACCGTTTCAACAAACACATGTCACGATGATTGGTGATAATAAACATGTGATAGAGTAAGTCGTCAGTCTATATTTAAGCAGCAACATACGTATCCCCATAAAACGAATGTCTGAAAGCTGTCGGTCGGTTCCAGGAGATATAACTCATCGTATCCACTTAGATGAGTTACACACTTCCATGGGAGAGTATTTACGACTGTCTTGCATGATGTTATTTGGTTTTTACAACATGTTGTTGAACTTTGTTGGCCCTACGATCTTTCCGATGTCGGTTGATCGTTAAGCATGTTAAGATGATAGAACATACAGATCTGTCTTCCTTTTTCTTAACTTGTTATTACTTTTGCAGTACGAAAAACGATAACTCTGCTACAGTACCATACTTCTAGTGATTTTCTGCAAAAGGAAGTGCTGTAAATTGCACAGAAAATCACTTGATTCCCTCTGTAGTACTGATCCCGAAATCAACATGTACGGTGGCAGCTAGCAGCTCGAGGTCACTGATGCTAGGGTTCTGATTCATAAAAACCCTGGAAACAACACATAAAAGTTCATCCAAAAACAGCAGCAAGACATGCACACGTCAGGACGACTCCCATTACCCACCGAGAACACGAACCCTGCTGTATTTTTACTTTATCCAAATGCCAGATTATTTACCAATTAGAGAACTAATTCGTATGAAGGAAGAGAGGGTCTGCACTATATACACTATGTGAGTATAAAATATACTCTGTGTGAGCATAAAATATTCATTCATTCATATCTTTATTTCCTCCAAAATAATGAAGAGTAAAATGTGGATGAGAACGGTGGGTCAAAGTGACATAAAAAAAAATTGGTGCAGACAAAAATTGAGATACAATTGATATTAATATCATTTCATAATCACATCTTGAAAAAATGTAAAGACACGTTATAAGTCAATGAAAAGTGGTTAAAGGAAGACTCATTGCAATGACTGCTACAAAATTAGCTAGATTTTTCTGCAAATATTAGGCAATCTTTGATAAAAGACGTGAGCGATTTAACATCGTCATTAAGAGTATCACAATTAACATCGCTTGGAGCACCCAGCAGAGTAGCCACCTGGACTTCTCTGTCTGACTGGTCGAAAGACACATAAACACACACAGGACATTTATTTACAAAATTCGTCAAAAGTGTATACCGCAAATTTGCTAATTCTAATTCGCCGCAGTCTAACAAACAATGGGCGGCTGCGTCTTCAAAAGTACTCTTGCAATTAGCGCAAAATAGTTCGCAATCAGGTGGAGCAATCCACATTTTGGAAACAGTTTTGCAAATTCCAATAAAAGAAGGATGACATTTTGAAAAGTACCAGATCACTGAAGGTGTCGTTTCAGGATGAAGATTTTTGAATCTCGAAAAATAAGACGAATGATTTAAACGAGTTTTCCAGTCTTCTGATTCTTTACAAAGAAGAACATTTTTAACAAGATGTTTCCAACGTAACTTTGGAGGAAAATTACCCGACTTAAAAAAATCTTTTAAAAAGTCATTGAAGTTGTACTTATACAGTTAGTCAACTGCATCAACAATAAAACCCTTTTTTATTTACACCAAGGCGATTTTGATACAATCGCAATAAAAACAGCTGTTTAGATGTACAATTAGTTTTGGTTCTACATAATGCCGCAAAAAAGCGAAGCTTACATTGATCTACATGTAAATGAAGCGATGATAAACCAAGCATACCTAATGCGATGTCAGATCTGGTCCTCAGTGGGAAATTTTAAATTAGTTTGGCACACAAGTAATGTACTGATTCCAGACGACGCCAATCTGAGTTTGTAAGTGAGTACCACAACTCACAGCCAAATATGCTTCGAGGGAGAACAATAGAGAGGTCTAGTTTCACTCCTGTTAAAGGGTTGATGCTGGGGCGGAATAGATTACAATTCAAAAGAGCAAAACATTGACCACGTAGTTTGTGGATAACTTCATCGACATCAGGGAGACCTGGTTTAAACATGTTTATACTAATCCCAACATGTTTAACATTTGTACATTCAGTGACGTCACTGTCGCCTAAGTGCCACCTACGGTTCGACTGTGAGTGGTTACTAGTTCGTTCGTTAAAAACAATAATTACTGATTTGGAGGGGTTGTATCTAAACCTCCATTTACAGCTATACTTATAACATATATGCATGTTAGAATACAAATTATAATACAAAACTAAATTGTGTTTAGAAAAAGCAAGAAGACATATATCGTCTGCCTGTGTTGGGCAAGTAATGTTGATATCACAAATACTCAAGGAATATTGAGAATCACAAAGATCATTCAGGAGATCATTAATATAAACAGAATATAACCAAGGGGAGATAATACTACCCTGACGGGTTCACTGGCATATCTTGAACATTTTCGATACAAAGTTCTGATGAATAACAACACTAAACATATCTTTATACAAGGACATAATTACAAATACATATTTCCGACTGAAACCCAAACGTGCGAGTTTGAGAAACAGACCGTCATGCCACACACAGTCAAAAGCTTTTGAAGCGTCTAAGAAACATGTAAACAACTTGCTATCATGTTCACTGGCATACTCAATGGCTTCATGCACAATATATGAAGTCATGGTACTACTAACTTGTTTTTGGAATCCATGTTGTAATGGATTCACGCAAAAAAGTTCTGAATTTTCTAATCTTGTCAGTAACAGTTTTTCATAAACTTTTATATGACTGAAAAAAGCGAGATTGCTCTATAGCTATTTGGGGCATTCTTAGGTTTGTTATGACCTTTATATAACGTGCATATCAAGCCTTGTTTAAGAAAAGTTGGTACATATTCTAATTTTGCAAAAGCATTAAACAATGTGCATAAGCAGTTAAATAGAGAGTCGCAGGCATATATAAGGTTTTCATAAACAAGTGACTCTACACCGGGTGCCTTTCCATGAGGAAGACTTTTACAACAACATTTAATTTCCTCAACCGTAAAAACTATCACTGTCACAAACACTATCATCTGAGTGAGAGTAAATTTCAGCAAAGTATCAGTGTTCAGAGTGATTGACTAAAGTTAAAGGTAAGATTTCACGCTTGCATACTGTGGTAGCATTGCAGTTCAATAGCTCGCATAATCAGCGTTGATTTAACGAGTGGCGTAAACCCTATTACGGCATCGCCCGAGCGCTGCCCTAATGGTTACATTTACTTCTCTTTCCCAATTTCTGATGCATGTTTAGAAGATGTTTATACCGATATATATTTTTTTTGCACCACGTTATTCAATTAATATTAATTTTATCAGTGTTCAGAGTGATTGACCAAAGTTAAAGGTAAGATTTCACGCTTGCATACTGTGGTAGCATTGCAGTTCAATAGCTCGCATAATCAGCGTTGATTTAACCATTATAAAACATTATGATATGCGTCAATATTTTTTCTAAGCACAAAAATATGCCAGCTGATACCAGCGATACCCATCACGCACAGGGGCACGCAACTACTGTTAATATTGATCTCGTTAGACTTTCAGTGGCTTGGTACATTATTACTGAAAGTCTTAACAGATCAATATAGATAGTAGTTGCGTGCCCCTGACATCACGTGTGAATTGACACTTATAATCGTTTTCCAATCAAATTTGATTGACATTGGTGTATCATGCATCCTGTCTGTGAATTCATTGCAAATGATAAGAAATGTGACAACCTAATTTTACATAAATTGACGGCTAGTTTATATAGGTCTATACGTCAACTTCATAAGTACATTCTTAATGTAAATTAATATGTTTTTCACATAACACTATAACCATTTACAAGTAAGGGCCTGTTTTGTCATTTAATCTTGATAATTACCCGATATCATTTCATATCTAGTACATTAAGACACAGCGTTCTTTTGTGACGTTATCAAAGGATCGCATGTGTTGTAATTGCCAATATCGCGTTACGGTCCATAATGTTTGCAGGATGTCATAGAGTAAACTAAAACGTAACATACAAGCCGCAGTGCAGGTCTCCTATCTAGAGAGCATGTTTCATTTCAAACAAAGAAGTGTATCTACATCTTAGCTAATAAGGTACTGTAATTATTTTCTGTTTATGAGTCTCGAAAAAAGAAAGAAAAAAACAACATTGGTCCCTATCTGAATGTTATCAACAGTTTTAAATCAATGCTGTCAATGGGAGCATTGACCCGAAACGTCTTCAGCCTACGTGAACCTTTGAAGTAAGGAGATAATTGAAAAGGCATACCCTCATGTTTGGCTCACCTAACAATAATAATAGCATAATAGCATTATCGAGTGGCGTGAACCCTATTACGGCATCGCCCGAGCGCTGCCCTAATGGTTACATTTACTTCTCTTTCCCAATTTCTGATGCATGTTTAGAAAATTTCAAATGAACTTTCTTTATAGGAGATTATCCTTAGATAAGAAGTAACATATTATTAAGTATTGCACCAAGTGACTTTTGAAGGAAGCAGCGCCTTGTTATTTGGGGAACGTCTTCGCCTTCAAAGATGGCCAACACCCCTGTATGTGTTTTTGTTTGTTTCAGAGGATAGAGAGTAAATCGCCTTTGATTGGCCTATAGTTATGTCATCATTAATAGCACGCATACCCTTAAAACCCATATTGAATAATGACCCCTTCACCTATAATAATGAAGAGCTTGGATCTTCTTTCACGCACGGTATGATCTAATTACAACGTTCCCTCACTTGTACAGTGTATCGTCACAATGCAAACACGATAAATGTCCAATCAAAATAAATTTCTGTTTACGACTTGTCTACGTTTATCGACCTACGTTTAATGTAAAACCAACCAAAAACAACTTTTGGAATAATCTAACCTTAATGAATGAACGTTAACGCACAATATTGGCACGACAGAAAGCACGTTAGTTGAAGATATCAAAATGTTGCTTTTTCTGAATTAGTAAGGAAGGCACTGTGGACCCACTCAGGGTCACGGCTGAGATTGGACGTATTCATCTATACACGATTCAAACTTATCAGGTCTCGAGGCAACTTGACCTACACACATTTCATACGTGTCGATCCTATCTGCTTCACCCCGTACCCTCTTACCTCTCCAGAGTAGTTTTACGTCTCAAGCAGCTGTGAATAGAAAGAAAACATAGGCAGAGGGAATATACCAGCTAGTAAAAGTATTGAAAGGTACATGCCAACTCTATCTTGAATACTGTTGAGT